TGTATATTGCTTTTATTATATTCAGGTACGTTCCTGTTATCCCTGATCTCTCTAGGACCTTTATCATGAAGGGGTGCTGGATTTTGTCAAAGGCTTTTTCAGCATCTAGTGAGATGATCATGTGGTTTTTCTTTCGCAGATTGTTAATATGGTGGATTACATTGATAGATTTTCTAATGTTGAACCATCCCTGCATTCCTGGAATGAAGCCTACTTGATCATGGTGGATGATTTTTCTGATGTGTTCTTGAATCCGGTTTGCAAGTATTTTATTGAGTATTTTCGCATCAATGTTCATGAGGGAAATTGGTCTATAGTTCTCTTTCTTAGTTGTGTCTTTGTGTGGCTTGGGTATCAAGGTAATTGTAGCCTCGTAGAAAGAGTTTGGCAGTGAGCCTCCTGCTTCTATTGTGTGGAATACTTTGACGAGTATTGGAATGAGCTCTTCTTTGAATTTCTGGTAGAATTCTGCACTGAAGCCATCTGGGCCTGGGCTTTTTTTATTTGGGAGACTTTTGATGACTGCTTCTATTTCATTAGGGGTTATAGGTCTGTTTAGATTATTTATCTGTTCTTGATTTAGTTTTGGCAAGTGATATCTATCCAGGAAATTGTCCATTTCCTTTAAATTTTCAAATTTTGTGGAGTACAGATTTTCAAAGTATGCCCTGATGATTCTCTTGATTTCCTCAGAGTCCGTTGTTATGTCCCCTTTTTCATCCCTGATTTTGTTAATTAGCATGTTCTCTCTCTGTCTTTTGGTTAGTTTGGACAGAGGTTTGTCTATTTTGTTGATTTTCTCAAAGAACCAACTCTTTGTTTCATTGATTCTTCTCAGTGTTTTCCTGGTTTCTACTTGATTGATTTCAGCCCTCAATTTGATTATTTCCTGGCGTCTGCTCCTCCTGGGGAGTTTGCTTCTTTTTGTTCTAGAACATTCAGCTGTGCTATTAATTCTCTAGTATGACTGTTCTCCAGTTTTTTCATGTAAGCACTTAGTGCTATAAACTTTCCTCTCAGCACTGCTTTCAAAGTGTCCCATAAGTTTGTGTATGTTGTGTCTTCATTTTCATTGAAATCGAGGAAGTCTTTAATTTCTTTTTTTATTTGTTCCTTTACCCAGGGATGGTGCAATTGTGCATTGTTCAATCTCCATGAGTTTGTAGGGTTTCTGCGATTTGTGTTATTGTTGAATTCTAATGTTAATGCATGGTGGTCTGATAAGATGCAGGGGGTTATTCCAATTTTTTTGTATCTGTGGAGATTTGCTATGTTTCCTATTATGTGGTCAATTTTAGAGAAGGTTCCATGTGGTGCCGAGAAGAAGGTATATCCCTTTGTATTTGGGTGGAATGTTCTATAGATGTCTGTTAAACCCAGTTGGGTCATAACTTCTATTAATTCTTTTGTTTCTTTGTTAAGTTTCTGTCTGGAGGTCCTGTCTAGCAGTGAGAGCGGAGTGTTGAAGTCTCCTACTATTAGCGTGTGAGATTTTATGTGCATTTTGAGCTTTAGTAATGTTTCTTTCACGAATGTAGGTGCCTTTGTATTTGGGGCGTAGATGTTTAAAATTGAGACTTCATCTTGATGTATTTTTCCTTTGATGAATATGAAGTGCCCTTCTTCATCTCTTTTGATTGATTTTAATTTGAAGTCTAATTTGTTAGATATTAGGATTGCTACGCCCGCTTGTTTCTTGGGGCCGTTTGATTGGAAGATCCTTTCCCAGCCCTTTACTCTGAGATAACGTCTGTCTTTGGTGTTGAGATGTGTTTCTTGTATGCAGCAGAAGGAAGGGTCCTGTCTTCGTATCCATTCTGCTAGTCTGTGTCTTTTTATAGGCAAGTTGAGGCCGTTGACATTGAGGGATATTAATGACCATTGATTGGTGATCCTTGTTTGCGCTTGATTTATTGTTAGTGAAGTTATTTTGTGTAGTTTCTCCTCCCTTTTTCTTTTGGTGTTTTGTAAAGTATGATTATATATTGCCTGTGTCTTTGTGAATGTAGTTATCTTCCTTGGCTCTAGGTTTTCCTTCTAGCATTTTCTGTAGAGCTGGATTCATGGATACGTATTGTTTAAATCTGGCTTTGTCATGGAATATTTTGTTTTCTCCATCTATGGTAATTGAGAGCTTTGCTGGATATAGTAGTCTGGGTTGGCATCCTTGTTCCCTTAGCGTTTGTAGGACATCTGACCAGGATCTTCTGGCTTTCATCGTTTCCATTGAGAAGTCAGGTGTAATTCGGATAGGTCTGCCTTTGTATGTTACTTGGCCTTTTTCTTTGGCTGCTCTTAATATTTTCTCTTTACACTGTAGGTTTGATGTTTTGATTATTATATGGCGAGGTGACTTCTTTTTCTGGTCAAGCCTATTTGGTGTTCTGTAAGATTCTTGTACTTTCATAGGCATATCTTTCTTTAGGTTAGGGAAGTTTTCTTCTATGATTTTGTTGAATATGTTTTCTGTACCTTTAAGTTGAATTTCTTCACCTTCTTCTATACCTATTATTCTCAGGTTTGGCTTCTTCATGGTGTCCCATATTTCCTGGATATTTTGTGTTAAGGATTTGTTGGTTTTGAGATTTTCTTTGGTTGACGACTCTATATCCTCTAATGAGTCTTCAACACCTGAGATTCTCTCTTCTATCTCTTGTATTCTATTGGTGATACTTGCATCTGTAGTTCCAGACCGTTTACCGAGCTTTTCTATTTCCAGCATCCCTTCATTCTGTGTTTTCTTTATCGTTTCTATTTCAGCTTTCAATCCTTCAACTGTTTGAGCTGTTTCCTTAATTTTCTTGGTTGATTTTTCTTGGTGCTCTTTAGATTCTTTGAGAGATTTGTTTATTTCTTGAAATTTTTCCCCCATTTCATGGATTTTTTTGTTTGTTTTTTCTTCTATTTCTTTAAGCGATTTCCTCGTTTCTTCTTTGAGGGTCTCCATCATCTTCATGAAATAATTTTTAAGGTCTGTCTCCTCTTCTTCCTCTATGTAGTGCTTTTCAGTTCTTGCTGGTGTTGGATCCCTGGATTCTGGTGGGGTCATGTTGGTGTTTCTATTGCTGAGTGATCTCTTATTCTGTCTTCTTCCCATCTCTTCTTCCAGTGGGTGCTGGTGGGGTCTTTCCGTCTCCACTGGTCTCTTTCCTTACTGCAGCTGAAGCTGGACTCGCTGGGTTGGGGTCTTGGAGGGGCTGATCTCCTTCCTGAAGCTGGGCTCGCTGGGTTGGGGTCTTGGAGGGGCTGATCTCCTTCCTTTGTGGGCGGCTCTTCTGAAGCTGGGCTCTCTGGGTTGGGGTCTTAGAGGGGCTGATCTCCTTCCTGTGTGGGCGGCTCTTCTGGAAGCCGGGAGCGGTCCCGAAGATGGAGGGGGATGGGGGCTGGGCGGGCAGTCCCCGCCTGAGACCCAATCTCACCTGAAGCTGGGCTCGCTGGGTTGGGGTCTTGGAGGGGCTGATCTCCTTCCTGTGTGGGCGGCTCTTCTGGAAGCCGGGAGCTGAAGCTGGGCTCGCTCTGTCATGGACTTCTAAGGACACTTCCTCAGTGCTGACTTGTGGACAGAGCCCTCATCAGCCTTCCCGGATGGGCATGCAGGGTCTTCCGAGCCCGTTTATGAGGTTCTTTTTAAGAATCAAGGATGTCTCAGCGCGGATTGCAGGGAAGAGTCCCCCCCTTGTTCACCCCCCCCCCCCGCTCTCCCAGCCTCCCACATCCGGGTACTGAGGGGGCCCGGTGCCATTTTGTGAGGCTCCTGGAAGGGAGGTGGCCTCGCAGCCCCGTCAGGGTGGAGGTGAGCCCTTCAGGGGAAAGAGAGGGAGCCTTTCAGGAGAAGGGGGTCCTCTGGGGGGAGGCTCTTGCCCTCTGAGGACAGCCTAGAGGCGGCTGGGGGCCCTGGGTCGGCAGGAGCCTCTTCTGGTTCGCTGACTGGGGACCAGGCTCCATCTCAGGCCTCCCTCCCCGAGGGAAGGAGTTCTCTCAGGCAGCAGGGTGAGAGCCTTCCCTGAGGAGAGAGGGCCCTGCAGGTCGGCTGTGGTGACAGGGTCCCGGGGGGGGTCGTTCCCTCAGGGGGGTGCGCGCTGCCCCCCAGACGGGGTCTCCGTGTGGACACCAGCCCCTGCCCCTCCCTGCGGGCCGTGGGGTGGGGTCGGCCCAGAGAGGAGGGGACATGCGGCTTTCCTGTCCTTGGGAAGGACAGGGTCTCAGGAGACAAGCTGAGGAGCACAGGCCTCGAGTCAAGCTAGTCTGTAGGTTTCTGAGGGTCCTGCCCCAGAGTTGAGCTTGACTCTGGGAAGAAGGCCCTCAAGCGTCCTCAGGGTCACCACATCCGGGACTTGGGGGCTGGAGGCTGTCCTGTGAGGGTCTTGAAGGGAGAGAGCCTGGCTGTTCTCCTGTGCCTAGGACTTGTGGGCCTTGGAGACACTGCGGGGGCTTCCAGGACGCAGCCCTTCTCCCCCTCCTTTCTGTATCTGGACACTTGGGGGCCTCAGGGCCATTCCCTGTGGTGCCTGGAAGCCCGGGCCTCCTGAGAACCATCTAAGCCCTGTGGCGGGTTCCCACCATGGAGATCCTCAGGCTTGGGGAACCATGGTGGTCAGGCCACCTTGGGGTCTCAAGTCATGACTGAGGAGTCTAGGAGTCTGTCCCAGCTCTGCTCTTCGGCTTCAGGGTGCCAGGGCCCTAGGAGCCAGTTGGAGGCCTGGCTGGCACACTGACAGGGTCTCCCCGTTTTCTGAGTGCAGGAGGTGACCGGTTTCTGGGTTGTCAGGGGACCCTTTCAGAATACAAGGCCATCAGACACCCCGGTGTGGACACCTTTGCCTAGCATCTCCCCAGCTCATCCTCTAGCTGGCCCGAGCCTCTTGCTGGGAGCAGGATCTAGAGCATCCCACACAGAGGCTGCTGTCAGCTCCAGGGTCAGCCTCAGTCAGAACTGAGAGTAGACAGGGGAAGACGCTCCAGAGCGAGGGTCCCACAGGGTTTCCGCTGTGTGTCTTCACAGGACCCTGTGCCGAGTGGTTGCCCGGTGGCCATAATCAGCACTTGGAACCCAGTCGGTCAGTGTGACAAACACCCTGCTTTTCTTTCCTTTGGTTTTGACCTTTTGACACAGGGTTACTCTGTGTAACATCCTGCATTCCCGGAACTCACTCTGCATGTCAGGATGGCCTTGCCAACTCCTTGAGATGCCCCTGCCTCTGCCCAGGCCATAGTGCTGGGATGCAAGGCCCTGGCTACCTCCATGACCCTGCTCAAGGAGCAGATGTTTAAGGGGTGTGGTCGCACCTGTCAGGGGCTTTGTGTTCTGCATGTGCAAGGGAACCCAGTGGACTTAAGAAGCACCGCTCTGTCTGGGAGTCACCCAAATGGTTCTCTCTGCTGTGGTGTACTTGGAGGGGCTCACCTGCTTCCCCCTCCTTCTCCTCGTGTGCACTGTGCCTTTGCTTCAGACTGTAGGATGGCGAGGAGGAGGAGGGGGACTGGTCTCACTCAGATTTGTAGTGGTAAGGACCCAGGGCCATCAAGGAGGGAAGAGTGAGTTCTCAGTTCCAAGACAAGCACAAGGGCCCTTGCTGTCAGTGTAGACTGTCTAGGGGTGCCGACTGTAGACCCCGAGTCAGAGAGTCACCTGGGACTTTGACTGGGGTGATAAGGGGAGGGAGGGGGCTCAGAGTGGGCTTGGACCTGAAAGACAGATCTGAGAGCCAGCAAGGGTGTTGTGAGGAGTGAAGAGTAAGGAACACTTCAGAATGTGTGAGAAAACGCAGGGCCCTGCCCCTTTTGCCAGTCTTCAGAAGCCCGGGTCCAGGCGACTCAGAGGAGATACACACATGTGCACTTCTGTCTCCTCTCTCAGGGCAGTGAGCCTGTACACCATAGGGAACCATCACAGCCCAGAGGGTAGCAAGCCTGCTCGCCAGAGGAGGCATCCATTTTCCGTGGTGAATCCAGGTGAGCTGTCAGGGTCAGAAATGAATGCGGGAAGAGGCCTCCCTTCCCCCAATAGAAGACTGTAGAAAGCATAGGTACCCCTGTTCCTATGCCTTAGGGAGCCCTGAGTCGGGAGCTACGTTGCCTGGCTTCCTGGGACTGTGTGATTTGTTGTGACACTTTTCCTGGAGTGACGAGGACCTTGTTCCTAGGGTTGATATCAGATCTGTAGTGGCAGCCAAGGCTGGAGAGCAGGGGGAGTCTGCAGGGCGTGGCCTCTCGTGAGGACTGACTCTGCAGCATGGAGCAAAAGGACTGCACAGTTACAGTGTGGGTGTGACCAGGAGTCCGTGCTCAGGGGCACCAAGGGCTTTACTTCCTTCAGCTACCCCTGGGGAAATACGTGGGTGTCTCTGTGGAGATGGGGTCTGCTGGGAAGTACAGGACTCAGAAGGAAGGCAAAGGTGCACTCAGGGTGGACTTAGGGACTCCTGTCTCAACAGTGATGAGCCCAGCTCACGGGGCCATCACTGCTGCTCCCCCACAGGGGTGGATGGGGCTGTGCCACCACCTCCTTTCTCCTGAGAGGTCATAGAGCCGGGTGTGGAACTTCTCCACAGTGGGAGACCATGTCTGAGCACAGTCAATGGTTAAGTGGGGCCTGGAAAATTCCAGGAAAGGATGCCAGGGACTTAGTGCAGGAGACTCCACTCCAGAGCACAGACAGCTGCCTCAAGCACTGTGTCACAAACAGTCCAGGACAGGCCTGCAGGGCTGAGTCCCCTGCCCTGGTTCCAGGCAGTAGTCTAAAGGCTCTGAAGGGCCTGCTTAGAGCACCTGGACCTGGGTCATCTGAGGGAGCCTTGGGCCTGTGAGGACTCCTGGTGAGAGTGGAGAGTACTGACTACCTCCCTGCCTGTCTGTGGGGGGGTGGGAAAACAGAAGAGTGCATTCCTTCCCCTCTCCTATTCTTCCTTTCATTCTCACAGAAGTAGTCTCTTGCCTTAAAGACCTTGGACCCAGGGATCACTGGGAAGCCCCTCAACCAGCCATTCAGCAAGGTGAGAATCGGGTTGCTGTCCTGTGCTAGCCCAAATGAACAACACTGAATTGAGGTAGCTCTTTCAGTCCCCCCCTCCCCTGCCCCCACCTGCAAACAGGTGTCAGGAGCTGTGAGGTGACCTCTCTGCCCTCTTGGAGACAAGGAAACTTGTTCTGAGACTTGCCCTCAGTCAAGAAGAGGCATGCACCCTGGGAGGTGGTCTCTTCTTCTTCGAACCTCTCAGAGGCACCTGCAGTACCAGAGTCCTTTGTCCTTGGAGCACTCCCCACGAAAATCCTCCCACAGGAGCTCTTTGAGAGCCTCCTGAGCAGTGGCTGTCAGAGTCTACTACACACCCTCTTGCTTTCTCCTCCAGGCCTGTGAGTCCTATCTCTGTGTCCTGTACCTCGTCCTGACTGTGTTCCCAAGGAAAGTCATCATGGATCCTACTGAGAACAGCCAGAGCTCCAACCTCCCTGACAGCACTCAGTCCCAAAGGGAGGCAAGGGGCCCCGAGGGTGTCCAGGTCCCCTTAGCTGAGGTGGGGGAGGCTGAGGCCACTGCCACCCCCTCAGGGGGTGTGTCTGTTGGGACAATGCTCAGTTCTCCCCAAAATGCTGAGAGAGCTTCCTCTCCTCCCACCACCCTGGGCTCCATTGCAGGGGCGCCATCTGCTGAGGCCTCTAGAAACCAAGCTTGTGAAGTAGCCCACCCTGAGCAGCCCCTGCAGCCTGAACTCCATAGTAAGATAGTTGATTTGGTTTTCTTCCTGCTCCGCAAGTACAGGAGGAATCAGCTAACATCTAGGGCAGAAATTCTGCATATGGTCATCAGAGAGTATGAGGCCCAGTACTCTGTGATCTTTACTATGGCCACTGACTGCCTGAGACTGATATTTGGCCTTGACATAATAGAAAGGGATCCCGGTGCCCACTCCTATGCTCTTGTCCATGCACTAGGGATCACTTATGATGGGATGCAGCATGGTTTCCCAGGCATACCAAAGACAGGCCTGGTAATAGTCATGCTTTACATCATCTTCAAAGAGGACAATTGTGTCAGAGAGGAGGAGCTGTGGCGTATATTAAATAACATGGGGCTTTATGCTGGGAGGAATCATTTCATATTTGGGGAGCCCAGGAGACTCATCACTGAGCATTTTGTGCAGGAAGAGTACCTGGAGTACAGGCAGGTGCCAGACAGCCATCCTCCTAGCTACGAGTTTCTGTGGGGCCCCAGGGCCCATGCAGAAACCACCTAGATGAAAATGTTGAGATTTTTTGCCAGCATGTTTAGACGGGATCCCAGGTCCTACCCCCACATGTATGCGGAGCCTTTGAGAGATGAGGAACAGAGGATCCAGGCATAAAACCCCCAGCAGATGATACTACTGCCCTGAGCAGGACACATGCTAGTGTCCTGGAAGATTCCAACCAACACCAGAACAGGCAGAGTCAGAGATCTAAGGACTTGAACCCTCACCAGAGTGGGACAACAGCACGATCCATTTCATTCTTCTTGTTCTCACCGGGTGACTTGGGCATTCTTGTTGTTTCAAAGTATTTCTACTTTGTTTACTGAAAGGTCCACTATTGCCGATGTCTTAAGTTTGTGATTATAATTTGTAACTGACCTACTTTGTTGACCTATGTTAGGAGAATTTTATCAGTTTGTAAACAGTTGAGAATAATGATGTCTTATTTGGATTTACTCTGGCAATGGGAAAGAACTTGTCATTTTTAAGGAAAACAATAAAGTTTTTTAAATTCTTTCTAGTTTTAGTCTCCTTTTCTGTTTAACTAGTGAAAATGGAAGCTATAGGGAGGTGAATGCAATGTCTTCCCCAAACCTCCACTGAGCATGTGAGCTCCGGCTCTGTGGAAGGACCTGTGGTAGCAGACAGATGTAAGAAAAGGGTTATCCACCCTTTTTCCATGACAACATCAAGTTCAAGAGATAGCCCTGTATGGATGAAAGTGAGAATTCCCTTTAGATCACAAATATAAGCACAGGAAGTCTGCAGAGCAGTCCCCTAGGATGATTAGTTTCACGTCAGTGGTGTAAGGCAAGGCTCTTACAGGTGTTAGAAATTATTAACCAGGACCAGGCAGGCCCTTTGGAGGTGTGAACGACTTATGACTGAGAGAAGGGAAAACCACTCTGAGCCATTGCTGTGTCTGGTGGACTTAGCATGGAGGACTCAGGCTGGGGTATCAATGATTGAGCACTTGGATAACACAACTATGGAGGTTGGATCCTCATCACCTCAAAACAGAAAAACCATCTGTGCAGAGAGGAGTCCTGTGCTGGCACTAGAGTTACAGATGAACACAGCACATGCAGGGCATAGTTTATCCCCAGCCTCTGCGAGGGACTCCTGACCCGTGTGGTGGGATTATGGCAGTGTGAGTCCTAGAACTCCTAGACAGGGCCTCTTCTGCATCTCTCGTTAGGAGAGGGGGCACTGCTTACTAAGATAGATTTAAATGCTCATAATGTGTATTAGTGTTGTGCCTGCATGTTAGGTGTAACACACTTGACCCTGGTGTCCCCAGAAGACAGAAGAGAGTACCAGATTCCACGGAACCAGAGTTTCAGATGGATGCAAGTCTCCATGTGAGTGCTGGAAACGAATCCGTTGTCCTCTGCAAGAGCAGCAAGTGCCTAGTCAAAGCTCCAGCCCCAGACATGTTTAAGTACAAAAAATGGTCATTCCTCTACGTGTACATGAGAGTTAGGGTGGACGCATGCATGCCTCAGTGCTGACAGAGATATCAGAGGACATGAGTCAAGTTGCTCCTTCTTTCCACCTTGTGTTGGCAGGATCTCCCTTGTTATTGCTGCTGCGTGGTGTCGTCCAGGCTGGCTGGCCCTCGAGGTTCTGGCCCATTTTGCCTCCTCCCATTTCACCAAACTATTGCTAGGATTACAGGTGCACCTGTTGCATCCCCCATGTATGCGGTTTGCAGGGAACTAAATGAGATCCTCGGGCATGAGCAGCTACCACTTTCATCATCTGATTCAGCTACCGGTCATAAGATTTCATTTTGCTCACTTATCTCTAGTGCAGTTGCAACCCAGATTTCAACATGTGTCCAATGAGTGGGAGGGTGCAGTGAAGTTTATTCATGAAATGTCATTCTGGCTCCTTAGCTATTCTGTGTCCTACCTTTCACTATATTCCTCCTCACTCAAGTAACTTGCTCCAGGGATTTTACATACAAGACACAAAATCTAGCCATGCTGACAAGCAGCCCGTTAACCAGGTCAGGAATGGCAGCCCTGAGAGGAGGCCAGTGGTCTGCATGACCCATAACTCAGACGGCTCTCACCCCTAACAGACCAAGGGCATACCTCTGAATTTAAAGACAGAGCAAAGTAAGATTAAAAAGAATAAATCACGTAAGGATGGGAAACAACAATAACACAGGGCATTTCAAGATTATATAGTGCTTTATTAACTTGAACTTTTTTAATGCTAATGAGAAAAAAAGCTGCTGAGAGACATTGGATTATGGAGTGGGTGGAAACTACTAAATTAAACCAGCCGGGCTGGAGAGATGGCTCAGCCATTAAAGGCTAGGCTCACAACCAAAAATAAATTAAACCAGCTTGTATATTATAAGGACACCTTAACTCCAGAATGGAAGTTGGGAATTGTGTTGCATTGGTGCATAGATGAGCTCACAAAAATGCACACCCAAAAGAGCCATGAACAAAGGTACAGACACAGTGAGGATAAAAGGAAACAAAAGAAAAAGTTCTCTCTCGGAAGCATTTACTGTGTCACAAGCTGAAGACATTACTTCCCACCATCATCTGGCTCTGACATTTCTCTGCCCCAGTCCTCAGTGTGCCATCCAATCTCCCAACTCCCCACCCCCAGATTCCCAATGCTTTAGGTGGGATGGAATAAATATCCTGCTTAAGACTGGGCATTCAACCATTATTTATTCTGGGCTTCTTGAGGAGCAGCGACTCTCTATATTCAGTGACATTCCCTGCAAAGAGAAGCTTCGCTTATTACGGATGATGAGAGTAGCATTTGCCTATGGGTACAAACAAAAATACAAACTGAAATTTGGTGGCATCTTTATATTTTAAAGCATGGGGATTTTAAAGAGAGGGATTGTGGAACCTCAGCTCGCTGAGTCTCTGTTACTTCCTTGGCTTCCACACCATTGCGTCCTGCTTGCCCTTTCATGGACAGCAGCTGCATTTTATGCCCTCAGCAAACTGGGTTCAGAATAGTGTGGGAACTGAACTGATGGTGTCACCGCACACTACTCTGGTATCTGGAAGCAGGAGATCCCTTTCCCCTGGGTCTGCACCCCCAATAGCGGGCACCAGGAAGTTTCTGAGCAGGAGCTGAGGGTAACTGCCAAGCATCCATTAGCCCTGTATAAGCACATATTAAATTACTTGCCTGTCTGCTAGGGGTAGACACTACTGTGAGAGACAAAGCTGTAAGTCTTACTTACTCTGCCTAAGAGATCACTGAAGCAAAAGCAACAAGAGAAACGCCTCTAACATGCAACCCCTTGTCTAAGGACAGGTAATTTCTGAGATGCTGGAGTCTGTTGTTCAGACAAGATATCAAATCACATGTTTCCAATCCCCTAAACAATGTTGTTTGACTCAACTGCACAGGATATATACTTGGCTCAAAAATTGTGGTAGTGGTGTTACTGTCTCCTGGTGGGATGAACCATTCCTATCCCCTTGATACTGAGATACAGGCAGTTTGAGGGCAGGGGCTGCTGGTTCCTTAAGGAAGACAGACACTAGAAGCTTTGCAACAGAGCTGGCAAAATATTGCTACAAAATATCCACCACCTACCTCTTGTCAAGCAACCTCAAGGAATCATTGCTAGATTTAGGACTTTTAAGATAAGGAATGGTTGGGTGAGAGACACTCTTCCTTGCCCTGGGGAACCTCTCCAGAGGGATCTTGCACTGTGGAAGTACCAGACATTGTTGGGCATCTCCATCTGTTGTAGGATGATCCTTCTGTATGCTGTGAATCGTTCTCATTGGTTGACAGTGAAAGCTAAATTGGCCTATAGCCAGGCAGAATAAAGCTAGGCAGGAAAGCCAAGTAGAGATACAGGGAAATAAGAAGGGCTGAGTTCAGAGAGACATGAGCCAGCTGCCCAAGATTCAAGATGCCTGAGGACCACAAATGTGACATCCATGTGGCAATACACAAATAGAAGTGGGTTAATTGAAATGTAAAAGCTAGTTAGTACTAAGCCTGAGATACAGGTCAAATATTTTTTAATTAATATCTTGTCTCTGAATATTATGTAAAAGCATCTGGAGGAGGGGGCGGGACAGAGAAACGTCTGTTTAAACATGGGGCCCACCATGGGACACTGATCCGCATAAGACCTAAAAAAGCTTTAAGAAGGTTCCAAGTTCCAAGAAATGGTGCACAATGGGTTTCCCGGTCTCTCATGTCAGCCATGGTATACAGATACCGATGCATCTCCAGACAACTGCCCGATGGGATGGATCTAGTTGCCAACCACCATGAATTAAGTCTCATGGCGGGTTCCCACAGTCCCTTACACAGGATGACATTAGAGACACACCTGCCAGTCACTGCTTGTGGGCTTGAGAGGACAGCCTCACGCTTGAGAGCATGGCATGCAGTTGTATAGTCCATTTCTTGTCTTTTTCCTCATACAGTTGGGGTCCATTGTTCAGGTCATCTGTGTTGGAATGTTCAGGTCTCCTTGGTGTGGATTCCGTAGTCTCTGTTGTCATATTGATCTTCCTGTTGTTGACTGTGTTCTTATACTGTAGTCTTCCCATCCATTCTTCCAGTGAATAATGGTGGGGTCTCTCCCTATCCTGGTTCACACGGGACCAAGGTTCTCTTCCAGTAAGTGAAGGCAGGTCCAATATTCCAATGGCGCTCCTCTTCCCCTGGGTGGAGAAGATACTAGGATGTTGCCAGACTCTGGATATGGTCGTCTGCCAGGATGGGTTCCCCAGTGCACACACAGTCCCCAGGCCTCAGGATGCTCCAGCTGGGCATCGGAAGCAAGCCAATCTCTTTCTAAAAGAAGAAAGGAGAATATTAAATAAAAATTATGGGAGAAAAATTTTAGATTATTGAATCTACTTTTACCCAAAAAACAACTGTTAATCTCAAAATATTTCACATTTAACAGAAACTTAGCTAAGAGAATATATTTCCTCTGAAATCCCAGGATTCTCAGATGAGGCAAAATCTCGTCTCTAGCCTGCACACCTTTGTTGACCAACCGGGGCCATCGGGCCAGTTCCCTTCATTCACAGTCGCCTTACACAAGGTCTCGGTGGAGCTTACAAGGCTTCTGGCCACGGCTGGCTTAGGGTGTCCCCCCTTGGGAAGGCTCCTTCTGAAACGATGCCCTGTCAGGCCGATGTGTGGGACCTCCATCTGTAAGGCAGACCTCGGGGAGGGGCCTGTAGTGTCCACAAGCTGTCCAACAGACTAATCTTGCTTTCCAGCAGGGTTCCCCAGCCACTCCATGTCCCGGGGAAGATGAGCATACAAGATCATTGATGCGACAAGGATGAGGTCCCCGGACTGAGACAATTTGCCCCCACATGATTCCTTTCTGTCCACAGGTCACTTGGCCCTGTCTGGTAGCAGCCGTGGTTAGTGCATTGTGGTGAGGCATTTCTGGTGTGATTTCATAGCTTGTGACCACAGGTACATTTGATCACCACTGCAGCCCAGCATCTCCCTCTG